CAGGCACAGGCACAGGCACAGGCACAGGCGGGGGGCGGTTGGCAGGGTCGAAATGCCCCAGCCCAGTGCTAGTTATCCGGGTTTCACCTCAGGAGGCCCGTGCCATTCCCTCCGCTGGGCTCTGCACCGGGCTCAGCTGGGCTGGGAGAGGGGTGCATAGGCGAGATATTAATAAGACTAAGAAGAAATCATCATTGTAATAGTTATTATTACAACAGTGTTAATAATAATTCATAAGGGTGGGAAGAACCAATACGCAGTGCATAGGCGAGATACCAATGTGAATTCAGCTATGGGCTGGACCCCGGTCCTGCGTCTGTTCCCAACACCCATAAGTTAAAGAACGGGAGCAGATGTGCTCCCAGAGCCTCCCGGCTGGGAAGCAAGGTGCCAGCTCAGCCAGTCACCAAGGGGGCACTAAACCTTGGACCAAGAGGTAACCACGCGCTCTCAGCCTGGGCTTCCGTCCGCTCCGGGGCAGGGGGCGAGGTAAGGGGGAGCCGAGCCCCCCATGAGAGACGAGAGCCCCCCTGCCAGATTTGAAAATCAGAACCTGGGAGGTCTCCGATGGGATTGCTCATTCACTTAGGCGGACTTCTTAATCAATGAACCGGTTTAATTTTTTTTTTTTTTGCAGACCGCCCCAAGAGTCAAGGTGCCTGGAGCCCTGCCCGGGGGGTGTGCATTGCTATACTTGTAAAATGACCCAGAAGCGGGGCAGTGGGGCCACTCTCCGTCCTGACGGGCACCTCTTGGGTAGCAAGCGGACCTTCCTGCCAGGGACCAGGGAAGCTCCCCGAGGTGCGGGCGCGGGGCGCTGGCATGCACAGACCTCCGGCGGGTCGGGCTGGGGGCTGCTAGGGAGTGAAAACTGCACTGAACTTTCACAGGAAGAAATAGAAATAACTTCCCGCCTAGCGCGGCGGAGACAAAAGGAGGCACCTTGGACCCCCATTCCCCGGTTCTGTTTAAAACTCAGTCGTGGGGGAAGGAACCAACTTGCCTAGAAGGGGCTTGGCGCCCTTTTTAGTGTCAGCGGGGCCCAGATCTACCGACGCGTTTAAGCACGTGCGCAAGCGGAAGCGCTCGGTACTCTAGCATAAGCATACAGGCACGTGCCTACGGGCCCTGCTGAATCGGGGCCTTTGTTGTCTCTGCTGGACTTGCAAAGGGTAAAAAATGCCTGCAGAACGATCTCTTTTCGTTTAAAATATTACAAGGAGAGCCAGCCCTTCGTGATGACACCTTTCAGAGCAGTTAAAGCAGCCGCGGGAACACGCAGCAGTCTTTGCCCTTCGCGTCCAGCTGAATGGATGGAAATGCTGCTTTTGTGTAGCCCCCGCGGTGACTCTGGCTGGACGAGCACATTTGCTTTCCATCCGGGAGGCATGGGAGCACAGAGAAAGAAACATTGTTCGGTGTGGAGAGCCCTGTGCACACTTTAAAAATCCGATCCTTGAGTTCCCAGCCCCCGCAATCCAGTTAATGAGGAAAGGCGCTGCGGTCTTGGTGGCACCGTTTGCATTGGGATTGGCACCGTTTGATTGACAAAGTCTCCCATTCTTCCACATCTCGAGTGTTATCAAACGGATTGTGTGGGGTCAGAAGCTATTGAAGAAACGTCCCTGTAGCCGCCGGGGAGTGAATAAAGCATTCTGCAAACACGGGGTGAAGACTGTGGCATTCTCATGAAAATGCTTCCAACAGGCAAAATGCATTTCGTCCTTCCTTCCCCCTCCTTAGCATTTCCTTTCCACTCGAGCCGTGCATTAAGCAGCACCGCCAGGTGAAGGACCACGCCGCGACCGGACAGACAGAGCGCTGGGGGCGGCCGGACCTGGGCGGCTGGGGCACGGCTCCCGCGAAAGGAAGTGGGAAAGGACGTGCGGAAAGGAGAGAAATAATAAACTTTTCTGCCAGTCCTAAGGGAGGCTGAGCTCTCCCGCGTCAGTCGTCTGGGGAAAGGGGCAGCAGCGCCTTTCCCTCGGCCGGAAACTTCCCTGGCTGAAAGTCGCGCGCAGAGTCGCCGGGTCGGGACCGCTCAGCCCCGCGCGCGGACACACGAGCGGCTTGTACCGGGTCGCAGCCTCCGCGGACGCGCCACATCCCTCACGGCAACTTGCCCTTGCAAGGTCCGACCCCAAGCCGAGGGCTTCATCTAACTAGGGGACATCGGCGGGCATTTAACCTGCCTGCTTTCCTTCGACTTCAGGCGTAACTACGAATGGCTAAGCACTGGAGCCTTACAAGGAGTCCTTTCCACATTGCACCAGGACACACGTGCACCAAATCTGGCCCGACACTGGGGCTGTGTTCGCAGATGGGAAGCCCGAGGTCTAGTAACATTGCTCGGGAAGGCACGGGCTCCATCGAGTGCGAGTCCCTGGCAAAAACAAGATAGAGAGGACTTCTAATGTGGCACACGCATAACTAGTATTCAGAACAGAAAACACCCCCCCACCACCACCACCCATAACATTTTGCAGCAATTAATTATAATGGAGCCTTTCTTGGCAGTAGGTATAAGATGATGCCGACTCATTTAAAATACATATTTTGCCGGTTGGTACTACAGCATTAATATTTTGTCACGCTGTGTTCTGTCCAGTTCCTTTCTCATATTATTAAAAAAAGGCTAAAAATTCACGAGACTCTTTATTTGGAAAATCCGAGGGAGACACCCCCACAAACTAAAAAAACCCCCCCACAAACCAAAACAACCCGTCGAATATTTTAATTGCATAGTCCCATCAACCAGAGAGCTTCGAAATACAGGTGTAAAAATAATGACTACAAATTAGCGCAACTGCACTGTGGGCTAAAGCCAATAAAAGAAATGTCCCAGGTAATTAGGAAGACAAGACGTAAAGACCTGGAAAACAGAAAAGGCTGCATCCGAAGCAGTTGTATTTCTAACTGCAAGGTGTCCTTGCCAGCTGTATGTGCTGTGAGTGACACAGCAGACTCACAACAAACCCACTTTTAGGCATTAAGGCTTTAGCTAACCTGGTGCCCAAGGAGGCAGCTGAGTTGATGCAGAAGAACTGAGGGCCTGATTGAAGAAAAGTTCCCCCGATTATATTTGTGTGGAAAAGCTCACCTCTTGCAGAGCTCTAAAGTGTAATCAAGGCACAGGCTTATACTTGAAGGATGTTAACTCTCATACGGGAACCTACTTTCTCCTAAACGGTTTCTTGCCTACTGAATGAGAGCCTCCCAATTGAAGCAAAATGATCCTTATGTACTAATATCAAGCACAGTCACAAAGCGACTGGCCATTTACGCTGCCACTTTAGACAAAGATATTTAGTTATTCCCGGGTAGCAAGTGCACTTTTGCATTTTTAAGCATGAACAAGCAGAGCACAAACATATTTACAAGTGCAATTACTAAATAGTGATTTGATGCTTTAAAGTCACCGGGTTAACTGCAACTTTGCTGCAATTTTCTTAATATTCAGACAATCACTTTATTAAATTAGTTCCTAACACTTAAGGCCAGAGTGTTAACAGTCAGAGAAGGCTTTTTTTTTTTTTTTTTTTTTT